TTTGGGGGAAAAAGATTTCTAATATAAATACTAGCATTTTAAGAATTTAAGAATTCTGTAAATTTAAATTCTCATTAGTAGTAATTGTGAAGCTGCCTAAAAGAATTTGTTAGGAAAGGTTGGTAGAATTCATATGTGTGTATATGTTTGTATGGCCACATTATTACAAAATTGCTCTTCAACTCAGAATTTGGCCCCCTCCCTCTGCTTTTTTTTTGTTGTTGTTGGTAATTGTAAAACAGAGTGGGTCTTAAGACTTGTTGAAATAGAGCATACTAGTGTACTTCTTGAATGAAATTTGATGGTGAGCTTTTTGTGACTGCAAAGCTGGGGACATTGTTGAATCTCATCCCTCCATCCCTTCTTCCCTACCTTAAAGGGAAGGGAGTTATTTGGGGGAAAAAAAAAAAAAGATATTTGATGCTGAATGTTTAGCCTCTAGATAATCATTTTTTACCATTCCTTTTTTTTTTAACTGTTCCCCCTCCCTCCCCTTTGGACACTTATACCCTCTTACCCTCCCAAAACTGTTACAAGATTTTCCATAAGCATCTTGGAAATTACAAAAAAGTATTTTACTCTTGATTGTGGAACAGAAGAAGGTGGGAAACTTGAAGATGTTGTCTTGCCAGCACCTGGAGCACCCAGTTGCTGTGCTTTCTTAAAGAAAATGGATCTGTGGTAAAGCCATAATTTGTTCCCTTCTTATTCTGAGTAAAAGTTTATTAGCTTGTGATTTAAGCAAACCATCTGGTCCTGCTGGCACTGTGCACTTTCAAGCCCTGTGCTTTCTCCTTAATATGTTACTGGAGGCAGTTAAGTTACATACTTGAATCCCAGTTCTGGCCTGGGCTTTTTTGAATGTTTTAAAACATATGCTTTTGAAAATCGCGCTGTGACCTGGAGCACATGTTCAAATTGTGGAGAAATTCTTTGTTGACTGTGGTTTAGTTCTCTGCTCCTCAGCTTTCACTTCTAATGACTATGCCCAAAAGTATGTAAGAACTGAGTGTGTTAGACATGTAATGGAATAGGTACCCAAGTAGAGATAGCTGAATGTATTCTCCAGGACTGAGAGAAAGTTTAGGAAAGTGAAGTATTTCATTTTGACCTCAAAACTGTTTCCCTGGCTTGGAGCCAGAGCACAAATCAGATGACTAGTTGGACATCCTGGTTCATGGTACCTTTCTCTCCTTAAAAACTAAAATGCTTTTAAAATGTCTTGGATGCATGATCTAAGGTAGAAGTACCTGAGGGTCTGGCACTCACACGAATGGGAAAATTAAGCAGTGTTAAGGAAAATTATGTTTTACTACATTCAAATTCTGTAGAAAAATTTTGGAATGAAAGTAAAGCACATCTGTAAACATGGCCCGCTAAAATGCTAAGAAAATAACTTCCACAGAAACAATTGAAGATGGTTGATAAAATATGCACTCCTAAGTTGGCAAGAAAGCAAATCCTTAGGTCAGGAGATGAATAGACAGGGAATTCAAAGATAAATACTTGATAAGCTGGTGAACTTGAATATTGGTTTGTGTAACTTGGCAGGACAAAAGAAAAAGTCTACTGTAGCCCAAGGTGAAAAGTCTGATACCCAGCCAGCCTTTTCCCTTTTTTTATAAAGGGTCTACAGAGCCCAAACTGAGCCTTTGAAAGCACAACAAAAATTGACCTTCTGTGAGACTTAAAAATTATGTATGTAAAGAAGGCCCAGTGAAAAAACTTCATAATGGTAAAAAGTTCTTAACTATAAATCCTAAGTACATTAAACAAATAGGTATATTTCTGCTATTATATTTGAAAACTTAGGTTAAATGAACAAATGTCAAAAAAGGAACTAGCAAACCTCACTAAGTATGAAAAAGAAAATCTGAAAGTCTGTGATAAATATCCCCACAGCAGATATCACGCCTAGAGAGTTATGGTGCTTATTTCTTCTGTAAGATTTTATTTATTTATGCATATAGAACTGGGGTACAGGCTAGAGGTGTAGGGGCTGTGAGAGAATTTACCAGAGAGAATAGGAAGCAGAACAGGCAGATGGACAGAGTACACTGATGAGGGGGGCAGCAGGTGGGTCAGGAGAGGTCTGCCGCGCCATGTGAATCACCTCTGGGGCCGGGGATCGAACTCACTGAAGTGGCACAGCCAGCTTTGCAGTGCTGCGCTCCAACCCACTGCACCACCGGGGAGGGCTATAGTGCTTATTTCAAATAAACATACAAAGACCAAATAATTTTACTCTTGTAGAAATAGTTCCAGGAAATATGTTAGAAGGATCATTGAGCCACCATGATGTTTTTAAGTTTAGAGCAACTTCATAACAAAACTTGACAGTATTAATACAGGAAAGGAAAAGTTTAGGCCTGTCTCCACCATGAATATAAAAGCAAAAATTCCTTCAAAAGATATTGTCAATCGTAATGTATGTGAAAAAGAAAAACGAAAGAATCAAGAGTGGTGTCATTAGAAAACTTACTACCACATTAAAAAATGACAGGGGAGGGCCTCGCTAGTGGCACAATGGGTTAGGATACAGCACTGCAAGCTGGCCGCAGCTGCTTCAGTGCGAGTTCAATCCCCGGCCTGAAGGTGATCCACAAGGCGCGGCAGACCTCTCCTGACCCACCCGCTGCTCCCCTCAGTAGTGTTACTTCAACGATCTGCATGTTCTGCTCCCCACTTTGTCAGCTCTTGTGATTCTTCTCACTACCCCTGCACCTCTGGCTTGTACTCCAGTTCTGTATGCATAAATAAATAGAAGGGGACAAGAATATTAAAAAAAAAAAAAAGACAGGAAAAGTCGTGAATATCTTAAGAAATATAGGAAATATATTTTATAATTTAAAAACTCTTAACTAGCTACCAGATAAGGGAGTTTCCCTAACCTAATAAAGGACATCTATTAAAATTTATAGTACTTAATTTTGGGTAAAATTATACTACTTACTTTTGTGTAAAATTATACTACTTACTTTTGTATAAATTTAAAAGCCTTTAAGATCAGAAATAAAATTATTCTTGGATTATCCTTTCTGTTCAGCTTTGTAGTAGACATTGTAAGTTGGATGGTAAGGCAAGTAAGTATTATAGGATTGTAAGGAATGAGAGAAAATAGGCAATATGGTTGCAATATGGTTGGTTGTCTACATAGTATATTAAAAATTCTATAGATAAATAACAGCATTTGAGAAGGCTGCTAGATTCAGTATGAATTACATTCCTATGAACTACATCAAACAGAAAATGAACTTTTTTTTAACAAGTAGTTTTTACTAAATATATCTTTAAAAAGTATTTAGGAGTAAATATCATTAGAATAATCAACTTCTTTATGGAGGGAATATAAAACTTACTGAAAAATAAATATGTATATTTTTCAAGAGCTATTATAGAACAGTGTCTAGTATGTATAGTCTCAAATAATTTCTGCAGAAATTCAAGTTTAAGATGCTCTTAAAATTTCTGTTAGATATCAGACTATAACATTATTATAATTAAGACAATGTGGTTTTAGTGCAGGAATAAGAAACTAATCATTATTAATAGAAATTGTAGATAGGGGATAGATACATGAATGTCAAAGATGAAGACACAGTTTTCAATAATTGTATTGAGACAGGAGCTATATACATGGAAGAAAATGAAATTGGATCCATACCTAACACAAATATCAAAACCATGTAGATAAAAGATCAAATTTTAAAAGCAAGATTTTAAAACTCTTGGAAAACTTTGTAGTCAGGCATATTACAAACAAACACAAAATAGGAGTGGGAAATTGTTAATTTTATTATCAACTAGATAGGGATATGGGGTGCCCATATAGTATATTGACCTTGGTCAAACTTTAGGATGTTTTGTTATGGGATTTTGTGACAGTATTGCCTTTTTTTTTTTTTAATGATAGAATTGAATAAAGCAGATTCACATCCCTAATATGATCCCATCCTGTCCTCTTAAGGCACTCCAGTTAGTTGAATGTCCCAATAAAACAAAATGGGTTTTCCTCCTCTGAAGGGATCTAAAATATCAAACTGACATTTGCACTCAATAAGTGGTAGACTCTCCCTCTCCCCACTCTTCCCTCTCCCTCTCTCCCTCCCCCCTCCACTACCCCCCACTTTTATACCATGAAAGATTTGTTGTTGCCAAGATTATTTCCTGCTAATAAGCAACCTGATATACAGTCATCATTGATGCAGTGGACTGATTACCGAGTTGAGGTTGGTTTTTGGTAATGATTTGCTTCTGAATGACAACAAACATGTTAATTTTAATTCTGATTTGGGGACCATCTGAAGTAACTGGAAATGACTGATAAAGAACATACTTTGTTCTTAATTTCTTGTGTTTTAGCATTCTGTATTCTTTCTGATAATTTTTCAGGCCTGTCTTTAACTGCTTGTCTCCTCTCCACTCAGATTTTCCTTGTTTTTCTTTCTGACTTTTCTTGAGAACATTACCTGCCTGGCATAGTTCCTTAATTCTGATTAAAATCTGCTTCTTTGAAAATAAATTATTTTTAATGGTGAAAACTCTTAGTTTGGTTGAATAAAATGACTCACTTGTATGTATGCTGAATCTATTGTTACTGAGTTTGTCTTTTGTTTCTTAAATTCTTTTTTTAATTTTTGCCGTTGTTTTTTTTTTCTTATATCTTTGTCTGCTTTACATCATTATTTCCACAGAACTTTCTGGACCATTTCCAAATAAACTCTCTGAACAGTAATGCCTGTGACAGAGGGTGACTTTTTGAATTGGTGATTTATATGTGCTATGTTTATCAAAAAGAAAATGAAGTTTTTTCCTTACCTGAACTGAGAATTATAGTGGAGAAAGAGATTGACTTCATTGATGTGTATCACATTTATAGAAAGACTATAGAATTTTCTGTGTGTGTGTTTTTCAGTTTTGTAGACCCAGGGAAGTGCCCATTGCCATGTGCTTTAATTGATCAAGGCACTGAATTTTTCTCTCTTCCACATTTATCATAGGTGGAGGAATTGCTAATGGCCATGGAGAAAGTAAAGCAGGAACTAGAGTCCATGAAAGCAAAATTATCCTCTACTCAGCAGTCTCTGGCAGAAAAGGAAACTCATTTGACCAATCTTCGGGCAGAGAGAAGAAAACACTTGGAAGAAGTTCTGGAGATGAAGTAAGTGCTTATAAAGTAATCTACTCTGCAGATCTGTCTTAGTAGAAATACTTTTCATCATTACTTTTATCTTCTCACTCTGTTTGTTACCCTGACACACTTAGCCTAATTTTAATCCTATATTTCTCACTCCCTAGAACAAATATTGAACAAATCCTGGTCAAATTTTTGCCTTTTCTTCATTGAACTTTTAAGTTTCTAGAGTATGTATATCTGTATCAGTTGAATTTCTGAAATTTCTAAAATTCTCTGGAAAGTTCAGGCAATTTTTTGAGCTTACACAGGGAAGTCAGCTGTTGGGCCTGGGTTTTATGGTGACTAAGTTATTTGAAAAACATTTCAAAGGTATACAAGAATCTCTCTACAAAAGTAGAGTAAATAAGATAATGAATTCCCATATATCTAATCCTTATTCTAATGACCTTTTATTAGGTTCTTCAGCCAATTTTTCTAATATTTTCACTTGTAGCAAAATCTTGGTGTATATCATTTTCCTACTTAGCCCACTCTGTGGCTTCCTGAGATAATTGCCATGAAGCACAATGTTCATCCATAATAAATGCTTATTTTTCTTTATGACTTTGCAGAGTTTTAGTTTCCTTTTCTTTGGAAGAGTACGTCTCCTTGAAAAGTCCTATAATATTTGCTATATGCTTCCCAGCTTTCACCCCTGTCTAATTGCCCTATTCGCCTTTTAATATGGCAAAGTCTACCTTGGGATTCCTCAGGTGCTTTATTTTCCTCAGCAGTTATCGGCATTGTTGCTGTCTTCTCTTCTGTCTCAGAGGAGATGTCTTTTTCCTTCATGAGGCTAGTTTCCTACCTCTAGCACAGATTTTAGTGTTGAGCTCCTTTGTAATCACTTTCTATTAGTTCCTTTTCTGCATTAAAAAAAAAAAAAGTGCCTCACTTAAGGTAACATCATCACTTTAAGGTAACATCATCACTTCTTTCTGATTGAACAGTCAGTAAGTAGAATGCCAGAAATTAGAGAGTAGTAGATAGAGGTTCTTGCCATGATAACTTGCAATGAATTTTCCTGGGACATGATTATTGTCCCAGGAATAATAACCCAAAAGTTGAAGAGCAAATGTTGGTGTTTCCCTTCTGCTTAGGAATCGTTAGACCATAGTGCAAGGTTAAGAGATTCTAACCTTTAAGAATAGCATTACAGGCCCTCCCTGGTGGTGCAGCACTTTAAAGCACTGCAGTGAGAAGCTAAAGCTACTTCTGCATGAGTTCGATTCCCACCTTCCCCGGAGGTGACCACATGGCATGTCAGACCTCTCCTGACCCGCCCGCTGCTCCCCTCAGCAGTGTACTTCATCAATCTGCCTGTTCTGTTCCCCGCTCTGTCTCTGGTGAAGCCTCTTGCCACCCCTGAGCCTCTGGCCTGTACCCCAGTTCTGTATGTACAAATAAATAAATCTTAAAAAAAAAAAAAAAGAGTAGCATTACAGATCATCTGCTCTTGAAAGTGGTCAACATTTAAGCCAGATATAGATTATTCTGAGAGGATAGAGAAGGGCTAAAGTTCTTCATATTAGCATGTGAAAAATCTTTGTAAAACTTTGCTTCTTAGGAGCAAGCTAGTGAAAGGGGCATAAGCTGAGTTTTTTGTTACTGATGGTAAAATGCAAAGTTTGGTGTTTTGCAGGTTAAGTCTTAAAGAAGGGTGATGAAGAATAAAATCATTTGATTTGAAAAGGTCTGGTAATGATTCCCAGAAAATTATAGGCAATAGAGTTGACAAGAAAAGTAAATTTAAGACTTAAAGTAATTACTGAAGTGAAAGAAAGATGGAGATAATGTTGGGAAAAGTAAGTTATTATATGTGGTTTTCCTAAACAGAAGTAGATCTTATGAAAGCAACAGTATATAAGCTTTTTTGGTTTCCTTATGGTTCTTGACTTGCCATGTATTTCCCACTCAGTTCAAATTTCTATTTATAGAAAAATAGTGGTGTATTTTTGTAGGAACTTTTCTTTATTCTTTGAAAAGATATGAGGATTTTATAAAGAATACTTGACTTCAAGCCATGAAAAGAGAATCGTTTGGGATTTTTTTTTTTTTAATGTTGGTGCCACCTTACTGAGCCCTATTATGAACTTCCCTTGCCAACCAGGATGAAGATTACATTTTGGCAAAATAGTATGATTAGCAAAATTGTTCTGGTAAGGTCAAAGAATTGTACTGTAAGACATGAGAAAGTAATCGAAGCATTGAAAAATTTACTAGTGGCATAGAAATCTTGCAAGCAACAATCAAATGAAAGTTCTAGAAAGAAAGTGTTAAAATTGATTCTGACAGATCACCTAGGTCTTAAGTCATCCTTTTCATTATTCAAGACATACTCCATGGCATCATAATGGTCTTAGTTCGATTTTCCAGAAGTGTCAATTTTGCATATTTATCATCCTAAAGTCATCCTTGCCTTATTTAGTACTTAAATTACCCTTTGTCATTCATTTTCATTTAGTAAAATGTTTTTTAATACTTTCCTTTGAGCAAATTTCTCAGCTCTTTAGACCACAGCTTCAATCCAAATACTCTATTGAGAGTGGTGGTTCTTATTGGTCCCTGTACCGACCTGTAGACCAAACCTTGTGATCCTACCTTTCATTTTTTTCTTTCCATTTAGAATAGTGAATAAAAACTTTCATACTTTTTTTAAAATGTAAATTTTAAAAACTTGGCATACAACTATAATGATTCAGAAAACCTCCATTGAAAGCTATGCAATTAACCTAAGTGTAATTATATACAAAATACCATGAATAAAATATTGTGGCTTCTGATACAGAGGAATGTTGATTTCTGTTCAATATGTGGCTGACCAACAGAATAGTTTTTCTTCTGCTGTATTTTGGACTCTTCTTCATATGTCTAATCAGATTCTATCTCTTCTGGGTTGGGGTTTCTCAGTTTATACAACTTTGTTCAGAATTTACTTTATTCTTTTGTCAGTAAGGAGTTCACTCCCTTCAGAATTGTTTTGCATGATATTTACCTTTATTTGTGACAGTTCTTATAATAAAAGGGCCTGACTCTCAGTTGTTTCTCTTCCATTTATTAGCACTGTGGCTCTGGGAGTTATTTAACCTCTGTGTGCTTCAGTTTCCTCATTTGTAAAATGGCAATAATAATTACTCCTGCTTCATAGCTGTTACAACAACATAGTAAGAAATTACTAATACATTGAATTAAGAATAGTGCCTGGCAAATTAAGCATTAATAGTTGAGTATTACTAGTTGGGTATTACTATTTTTCTATTAGGTATTTTCCTGATGATGATTTATAGGAAAATAGAAAATTACTTAAGCAAAATGTTAGAAAAAGTTGCTGTTGACAGTGACAAACAGCTGCTGTAACATGACAGTACCCACTACATTTTAAACATTTAAATTGTTTAATTATTGATGATTGAGTAATAGGGCTTGTTCATTATAACTAGAAATGTGGAAGAAATATGAGGATACAGTGTGCAAAGAAAACTTAAACATGCATGATATGTAACTCTGATCCTAGAATAAAAGACTTTCCTGAGAAAAACACATTTTTCCATTTCTATAGAAAATTTTTCAGCAAAGCACTAGAATTTTCTGATTTTCTGGAATAATTCTGATGTAGTTAAACCAAAAGGAATGACCTAAAAGTTCTTTTCCATGCCGAACACTTATAATTATAATGTTCGCATATCTGTTATAAATAAATGGTAGCTGTGATTTTGGGGAGATGTGAACTGTTCACTTGATTGCCTGCCAGTAGTTCAATAGAAACGTCTGAGCTGGTGAACCAGCCCTGAAGAGAAGGGACATTTTTATTGGCAGATCCCACATTGGTTCTCCTTTTCCTTATGTGGTTTGTTAGACATTATTATTTTATGCCACTTTTATGTTAGCCTCTTTTCTTAAGCAAGGGTGACCAGGAGAATGGGAAAAATAATAAAATAACAGGATCTCTAATAGCCATAATAAATGAGAAATACTACTTCATCCCATGAGCTTCACCATTAAGATTTCCAGGTGAACTTGCCCGTTCTCTACTACCCTGCCTCTGTCAGACTCCTGCTTCATTCTTACCTACTATTACCACAAATAAAAAAGGCTTGTTTTTCATTTTTATTATCAAATTGTTACTAAACTCTGAATTTGCCAAGAACTGGTTTATTTGGGGGAAATGATAGAAGAGCTTTTTGATAAATAACATTCTATGAGTAAAGTTGACAGCAAAGGCCCAGCCTTGAAGGGCTATAAGTCTATACTCTTAACATGCCTTTGGCTGAAGAAAGATAGATCTAATGGAAACATTAAATTTTTAGATGTTCCTAAAAGGAGTCCACTAATAAAATATGAATTCTGATACATAAAAATCTTTGCCTTTACTAGAGAAAAGTAGAATATGTTTAGCACTAGGAAAGCCATATAGAAAAATGGTTACTAGAATAAGTCTAAACTACTTGTGGGTAGGTATTATTAGGTAATCATCCTGTTATATCTTAAATAATTGAAATAAGACTATTTCAATTCATTTTTTATCTCAATTCCTTGTTTTTCATTTTTGTGTCTTAGTAAAATAATACAGTAGATTCTCAAATTTATTGTAGAGTTGCTGACATCAATAAAAATCTCACTTGCGGATTTATGACACAGTCTTCCACATTAACCACAAAATTGAAAACACTTAGAAAGATTATGTCCTAGTAACAATCATTTTCTATTGAATTTAAATGCATTTTAAGTTATATAAGAGCCTGTAGAGTTTTTACAAAGCCCACTTAATTTGTATTTCTATCAAATGCTTTTATTCAAGTGATTACACATTGATAAAGGGTTTAGGACTATTGAAAGCATTTTTCACAGTGTCCTAAAATGTGGTGTAAGTATACTTTAGGAAATCACATAATTTAACAAATTTTTCTACACTGGAATTCAAATGAAGACAAAATAGGCTTTACCACATACTTATAAGCAAGTAGCACAGATGAGAATGATCCTAG